TGATTGGCACCTGTACCTACTCGTGCTCGTGTCTCTAGACAGGGAGAGAACGCTATTTCTATAGTTTCCCTGAACTGCGACATTTTCTAACCAGGTTGTTTGGATAATAAAAATTTCAGTACGTATCTCAACCAGTATTTAAGCCCTATGACGTAATATGACTTGCTTGCAGTAATTTTTAGTCCTATCTAAGATATATACAAAATTGTCAGTCTTCTTTTTATTTATAAGTTCATCTATTTTTATTTTATTTCAAAGTTTTATAACGTGTTGTACAAAAATATTTTTTTAACGCAATCAAGGAACCATTGTTGACTTAAAAACATTACCATTTGTCTTTATTGTTCATTTATGGTAACCAAGATTTATTTTCGACATTTAACGTTAGCAATATCGGTAAACAAACTGGATAGCGTCAAACGCAGAGTGTGTTCAAAATGAAATATCATTCGGGTGTGTCATCGCCGTCCCTCTTCGTTTATAGTCTAGTTACATCGTTCGACCCAATGTACTGACGTTGATTTGTAGTTCCGAATGATAAGTTTCCGCATACTGAACACCACAAAGAGATAGGACGCCAGTGGCGCAAAAAACTCCAGTTTCCTATAAAATGCTAGCCAATATATTCGTAAAAACTGATGAGAAATTGGTTTTTTTGTCTAATGCGCATTGATTTGATTTTAAGGTTCTCACTATATGAAAAAGGAACAAGGAACTCATTATATGAAAAATTATATATATTGGTGTCACATTATCCATACAAGAAAACTATTAATATTAACTAGGTACATTTTTCTTTCCACAAAAAAGACAACATTTTTACCAATATATTGTTAATCGAGGTCACCAAAACAAACGCCTGTTGTTCCTTGTGTTAAAGAAACAATACTGGAAGGTTAATTCGAATATCGTCCTACCGTAACCTGTGTTTAGTTACGACTTGAGGGAACGGTTGACACAGCGGAAATACATTCCAGCGGTCGAGATCCACTTGCGGTGTAACCCTTGCATGGACCAAGATCCTTGTATAGTGTATATATGTAAACCTGTACACACCCAATTTATTTAGTAAGCAGATGTCTGTGTTGATTTAAGGGAAATGAGGCCATTGGAGGAACGCTACGTGTAGTCTATTCTTTCTCAGTAAGAAACTTGCTTTGTTGTTCTTGCGTTTCTATTGGAGTTATTGCACCACTCTAAGCAACAATTTGTAACATTAAATAAATATAAATACTTACGCTTACGCTTTCGTTAAGTTTACGCTTTGGTAAACAATAATATCAAATGAATATATGTAAAAATTTGCTTATTTACATTTTCTTACTGATGTCCTTTAGAAAAGAGGATTTGACAATTTTACTGAACATCCGTAGGGTTAAATTCCCTCGCTAAATAACCACCTGCAGAAATAGTATTACGTCCATACGATACCCTTACACCATAAATTATCCCCTTAAGGTTAGAATTACATTAACGTCGTAGAGGAAGCTACGGTGAAGGCGTAGCCACGGAAACCCAACGCTACGAAATTTGTAGAACTTCTTATATGTCTCGCGTACTTAGTTGAAAGATATATGTAGAAGATAATATTCAGGGTTTGGGTTAGTGAGGTATAGTAAACCTCATACCATCCCAAAGTAGAATGACGTAGTGGTAATCTAATATGTCTAACTCAGGAAAAGCTGAAAATGGGTACATAATGAATGAACTTTCAAAAAGTTTAGCGATATTTAGTACAATTTTAAATTATAATAAATAAATTTATGTACCAGGACCACAGCTTTCAGAAAATAAAATGTTTAAAATTATTTAAAATAAAATAGTTTATTTGACATGCAATTACAACACATAGAAAATAAAATGTAAATTAATAATAATAAACAATAATCTGAGTACAGAGTACTAAAGAAACCGATCCCAAAAGTTCATAGAATGACATTTATTTACCAAGTTTTATTGAAATCGGTTACCGGAAAGTGCGTGAAACCGGAATAATCCCCTCGTTTGGGTGGCCCTTAATGGGGAAATATTTTCATCATTGCGACCATTACCGAGGCATCCTCTTTCTATCAAAAAAAGAATCTTCAAAATCGGTTCACAAATTCTTTATCGCTTAACAATAATAAAAAAAAAGTCGAATAGAGAACGTCCTCCTTTTTTTAAAGTCGGTTAAAAACACATTTCAAATTGGTCTATGACTCAGCTACGGAGGATAATGAAATACATTGTCCTCGCTGATATTCTGCCTTAGCTTTTAATGGTCAGGGACACCCAAAAATATATGTAATTAATTATATAGAATACACTAATAATTAAAAAGCAAAATATTATTATAATTCCAAATTATTAAAAACCAATATAACAACACACAAGTCTCGAATTATAAGAAACCTGCATCCCATGATTGCTTGTCAAGTAGCCATTGTAATAAGCATTAGACTTGTTCGTGCCGTCGCTTGATGTTATAAAAAAAAATACGTTTGAATGTCCGTAACAATAAAGACACTGCCGCTCTTACAGGAGGAGGTATGTCATTCCATATTTTAGATGAAACATATTTGAAGCAACTACGAGCTGCAGCGAATGACATAATCGCCTTCCTAATCATGACACCCTTATCGCGCAGTCCTTCATCATGCGTTTGTGTTTGAAGGTCATTGCGTAAATACATAGGCATTCCTTTTTTAAATAAAGAATATAAAAAACACGCATATCTAAGGCAATGTGAGTTACGCATACTGAGGATCTGATTCTTGAAGAGATGAGGTGTGATGTGATCTCTTCTTGGCACCGCATGCCATTTACATACACATGCATTCTGCACCCTCTGAACGGACATTACCGTTTTTTTTAAATAGACAAGGTCCATAAATTATCTTAAGTGGGACAATACTAGTGAGTTACATAATAGGGACCGAGTGGAGAAGTCAATAAATGGTCGGAATTCTAAGGTTATAAAATAAATACTTTGTTAAATGCCTATTAATTTAATTCAAAAATTTAATCTAGTAAAATAATATTATTATTATGTTTTTATTGCCATGTAAGTTGGCGAATGCACCCTAGAATTCAATAGGAAGCAATAAATATAACGGTTAAGCGTCATATAAAATCCGAAACAAAAATGTAAGCCGTGCAGAAGCCGCCATAAACGTCACATCAATTCTTTATTCGGTGAACGCAAAAGAATTACTGATCGAGGGAAACTCGACGCTTGTATTTTGTCGAGAGTTTTAGGACACTATATTGAGAGGAAAGATTGGAAATTAGGCTTGTAAACTTCATGTCTTTTTTAAATTCCACAGACAATCGTTTCGTACATAAAAATAAATATTGTATACACTATGAAAAAGAAAATAGAAAGATGAAAATTTCACACGACTTACAGTCCAGAGCACATTCATGTGTTTGACGTTCGTAACGGTCCTAAGACCGTTCTTATCGCAAACAGCTTACAATTCAATTGAAACGTTTTACGTGTCAAGCTTGGACGTGCTCTTTTTTACATTTATTACCATGATTGAGTAACAAACAATTATAACAACTTTTAAAAACCACTAAGGTTTGAGTCAATGCTGTACGTTGTCTACATCGACAATACATAAATCTTACTATAATAAAGTATACTATATGCTATACCATACATATTATTAGGTATACTATAATAATAGTATAATACCAGCCATTACAGCTAACAAATACACAAAAAAGAAATAAATAAAAATCAATAACCAGGACGGGTAATAAAGTACTCTTAAGCAAATAAAAAAGAAAACAAAAAGCAACTAATGGGCTGTGGCAATTACAATTCTACGTTTCTGCAGTGTTTGAATTGATTAAAAAGTGAGTTTTAAGATTCGGTTTCATATAATAGTCACGTTAGTCAGTATTTTACAGTATGTAATAGTCGTAATACTTTTTTCAATTCAGAGGGTAGTTCATTAATATACCGGGGAACCAGGTACGCCGCATTCCGTTCGTCGTATGTGTTGTTTGCTCGAATGGTATATCTTAACCTTGTACATATTGTTATTGCTGAACCTGAGGAAATATATTGAAAGAAACGAGGATGAGAAATATAGTTAAATAAGTCCGTTAACATAATACATGCTTTGCAATGATACATGAAAAAAACTTAAATGCAATGCAATTCACACCGAGCTTGACTAACTACTCATTTATTTACGTGAATAGAATAGGCAAATTATTTAGCCTCAAAGTCAGTCGACATTTGCTTCTATTGGCCCCGAGCACGTTTCTAACTCAACGCCCAATATCATCTACATGAAATATACATACATTAAGCGTCTATTAAAACCGCTAATTCCAATCACCAAGCTCACTTCCACCTATCAATCGAAAATATATTTAATGGCACTGTAGTAGAGTCCATTCTCGCTTACAATAATTGGTTCGTGGTGCTACGTAGATTTAGGTGCGGTAATTGAATATTCACCTCCCGATGGCTGCACGTTCGTTCAACGGTTTGATGACTACTACACAAGAATATATCCACTAAGTTCATAGCTTCATATTTTAGGAATAAGAACGTTTTAGGACTTCGCGGTACGAGAATAATTTAATAGGAATATGACCATAAGTTTATGATGCCATGGAAATATTATAGAAAGTAATGTCAACGGTTATTGAGCAGGAACGCCTGCGGATGATGTTGGCGACGGCCCAAACACATTACAGAATTTTTCGCTTCCTGTTGTGGAGTGTTCTTCTAAGGCACAAGTAACTATCTAATAGAAATAAAAAAACAGTATGTATCTAGTATTTATGTGTAGTATGTATCAATGTTGACAGGTTCAGGGAACGCCGCCAACTTTTATGACACCTCGTCGCGGTTAGTCAACTCAATTATCATTGTATCATTTCAGAATACGTAACACCAATAATAATTTAGCATATACGTCTTAAAATTTAATTAATAAATTTTAGATTAAAGTTTCAACACACGTAGAGTAAGGTATTGAAAGTATATGTTTACTTACGTATTGTTGGCGGACGAGAGCCGCCGGTGCAGGCTGCGCAACGACATGGCGTACCCCTAGCAGGGCGGGCTGCCACTGCCCTTGCCGCGCGGCCGGCGCAGCGCGCGCGCTCCGAAGAACGCGCCCTCCTCGTTGCAGGACTGCGAGCGCTGCGAGGCCAACATGCCGGCCGCGCGCCCCAGCGCGTGCAGCGGCCGCACGCGCGCGCGCCTGCCCCACCCGCACCCGGCCACCACCTCAATCTTGCCGCCCGACAGGCGCCCGCCCGCACTCACGCGCTGCCCGCCGCGCGACCGCCCATCGACCTTTCGCCGCACACTCGCCGCTTCTGCGACGTTCACTCCGATAGTACCACACACCACACTAACTAACTTTCTACCCTAGCTACGTAATTGAAGTAGTAGATTGAAGGCGTTTCGTCGTTTGTTCGGTTGGCGTCTTACTTTACTAATTTCTTAATTAATTATTGTTGTGAGGTTTGGCCCCGCGCTTTGGAGGATCTGAAACAAATTAGAATTTATAATTAGATTGGCCGGTCGTTTTGCGAGGTGTACGAGTCGAAAGGATATTGGAATTGATCGAGCTACGCGCTTCGCCGGATCGATTCAGGTGCGTGAACTGATAAAGCATTCGTAGCTTTTGATTGAGATGGTAACGCGACGTTACAAATGTTCTACGTTCCGGCGAGAATAGAAATTCGTGTCATGGTTCTTCATGTTCATTTTTAAATACGCGAAATCAGCCATAAACACATACTGAAGGATTTTTGTTTGAAACGTAATTAGAGCGAGCCGCGGACCAACTTTTAATGAAACGGTCAGCCGGAGGTCCGTCCCAGTTAATCCTTTGAAAGCTTCTAATCTCCACACTTCGACATAGGAAACCAGCGCGGGAAACACTTTTTGCATTGTGTCGAGTGTTCTCGTAAAATAGGCCAAGTGTAATTGAGACAAATGACAGAACGTAGCTTGACTGTACCCATGAAACTTTGTAAGAAAGAACAAAACACTTTTGAACAGAAGCAGCGCACTAACTCATATTTTGTCGTGTACTGAGTGGGGTCACAAAAGCCCATGAGTTTCCGTCATGTGACGTGTGTTCATCTCGAGATGGACATTAATAGTGACAAAATTTTCAATATGTCTCTCTGAAATAAACAAGTTTCTAGCAAGTGTTCCCCAATTGTTTTCAAATAATAATTGTCTAAGCTCTGCGGTCCTTCTAATTAATAAGTCTTTTCCCACTTCACAAATACTTTCTTGGGTTTAAGCCTTTCTATTTTCAAGTTAACGCATTTCCGATGTCCTAGGAGAATATTTCAAATAAAAATTACACACAACTGACTGAAATGACGTATTCCGTAAGTATTTTTTCCTAAAAAAGACGTAACATTAAATTAGGAAAAAATTGTAACTATATTTGTAATACTTACTAGAATATTATTTTAATGAAATAATGTTCTTCAAAAAATATCTGAGGGTAATTTAGAACAAGCGTCTCGCAGAGAGATTAGCGATCGCTGAATATTCCATTAAAAGTTGATCCGTCAACTCAATATTATTTACCTTAGTATTTTCGCCTGCTTTTGACGCCTTAAGTATTTTTATGTTGTTTGTTATTTCTATGTATAAACTCACTATAACTTGTTATTGAAAAAACTATGCTGTATAAAAACAGAATCTGTGCTTTTACGTTACTTCGAGCTGCTTTCCTATTTAGTTCACTTTAGCATTAGTAAATGCATTGAAAATAAAACATTTCTGATATATTATTAAATATTACAATTCCAAGTCGTTTTAAGACCGCTTTAGGCGTGTAGAATAATTATACTGTAAATTTTGAGAAAATTTGACCTAGTTATTCAAACTTAAAATTTTGTATTCATCAAGCTTTTCTTACTGTTACTAAAAGTCTACGGAAATAAAAAATATCAACGAGAATTTTTATCTTTGTACGAACCTCAAAATACTGTAATGGCTCACAATTTTTATACATAGATAGAGTATTAAAATGAAAATCAACAGCCACTGAGAGCCGTCAACGTATAAGCATTTCAATCCGAGCATCACCTTTGTTGAAACTTTGAATAATCTCCACCCTTCTCTCTGCTCTAAATACGAACATGAAATGAAAGGTAGCAAAATATTAAAAACTGTTCACCCAACCAGCCGACAAGTTCACATTAAACTTTTAAAACAAAATCCTATTTGTCCAAGTTACGGTACGAAAAAGGGGGCAGGGCAGATTGGCTTAAAGTGATCATTACGAATGGGCCCATATCTGTATAATAGGATCATGGAGATAGGAGTGAGACTGACAGGACGCCACAACGAATATAACAGGCAAGTGGCACGATTCTCAACGTTATTGTATTAAAGTGATCTTTATGATGCTGGGAACTAGGCCTATACTTTATTTAAACGGCGAATAGCAAAGTTAGTGTTGTTACCAGGCTTTGCTAAAACTTAATGAATACTATTTTGTTTTGTGGCAATTCTTAGCTTAGGATATTATTCTATTAAACTTTATACGTTTCAACTGGTATCACGGAGCATAATGTGAGAAATATTCTATCACAAAAATCATCTTAACACAAAACCGGTTATACCTAATCATATTACAACTTCTATAGGATAAGCGCGACAAGAAAAAGAGTTGAAAAATCCGACCAAAAACACCTAGAGGAGCAATTGGTCCATGAAATGAAGGGTGGCCTTCTAATGTCACTGAAACTTAAGCTCGTGGATTTATGCATACTTCTAGTTCTCATCTATGGTGCTCAGAGTTGCTCTTTGATAGAAACCCAGTTCTTCAAACTCAGAGTATGCCACTTAGCTATGGAACACAGTATACTAAGTGTAAAACTAATGGATCGTTCCGGAACATCACGCTGCTCACAAAACCCAATTTGTCCAGGTTTGGTTTTTTATGACATCAAGTGACGGCACGAATAAGTTATGCGCCTGGTGGTAAGCTGCACGCCTGTCCAAAACAGTAAAAATGCCGTGCAGAGCTTTAAATCGCTAAGATCTGAGGGGTACTGCCACTGCGCCCGCCACCCAGAGACATTAGTTGACAAGTCCCATGTGCCTATAATTTCACCAGCACTCTTACCCTTCAATACCGAAAGACAGTAATGCCCATATACTGCTTAGCGTCAGAAATAGATAAGGTGGCAGTACTGTCCTGGATGAACTTTTCACAACGAGCTCTACTGCTCCCAAAAAAATCTAACATTGAAGTGAGACTGGGCTGGTCACGTCTGCCGCAAGATAACCACCGAGTGGAAGCCTCACAATTCAAGATGGAATCGCGATGTACCACATCGGCGATGGCGTAATGATTTGGACGCCTTTTTAAAGGGCTGGTTAGATATTGCCCAAAACCGGGATAAATGGAAAAAGAGAGCAGCTTCACCCAGCAGTTTGATAAAACAGGCTCATAATAAATAAACAAGTGTGATTTCGACGATCTTGCTCGGTGGCCTAAAGATTTGCACTGTGGGTGCTGGATGAGGGGTGTTCTGGGTTGCTCTGATATTTATAGAACTGTTAATGCTCTAATTTGAGACCAGGTAAATGGTGTGGCTGTATGACATGACAAAAAATTGGTTTAGAAACAATACTAACGTTTCCTTGTTAATTTATTATAATAATAATAAATAACTAAAGAATCATTAGTATTATGTATAGGAATCCAGAATTGAACATTGAGTTTTTATGTGTTTGTGATCGGACAGACGGACTAGACCGGAACATTTTATATTATAGAAATAATAATAATAATATAAAATGTTCCTGTGTAACATCACAAACACATAATAAGTAGGTGTTGAATTCTGGGTTCCTATACACAATATAACTTTCTTATAAGAAAAGAATGAGAAAGTGTATGTAAAAAGAATGTATTTTTCTTTGTACCTGGAAGTAAGTACAATAAAGACGACTACAAAGATAAATTACCAGGCAACCATAAAAAGTTAGAGAAGGAAATCTATTCATTTGTATTTGCAACAGTATTCAGTGTCTGTGTTATTTAATCACGATTTCCAAGGGTTCCAGCACAAATGAAATGAGTGGTTAAAGATACTTTGTTTGGCATTCGTATAGCTTTGCTCAAAAGATTGGAATATCTTTTTAAGCCGCCTGCTGAGCACTTTAGCTATCCATATACATATTTCGCCCTAGCAGTGTAATGATTTCTCAGAGGTTCCAAGACAAGAATATTTATTAGTCCATACAGTCTACCACCGTAGACAAAATGTGAATTAAAGGTTTCTGACAAGGTATACCGAGTACCTACTCGGTATACCTTGTCATATATATTGGTATATTTTCTTGGTATATTTTCTTCATTGTCAAAGCAGTCGTGTCACAAGACGGACATAGTAGTTCCAAAGTAATTTAAAATATTACAAATCTGTGGCAATACGCTCTGTAACCAACAGCGAATACCTTCGAAATTGCTAATGTGTCCAACGAGCTTAGCATTCGGTGCTCGCTAAATGTGACAGAAATTCAAATATGGCCGACTGCGTTCAGGGAAATATGTTGAATTTCGAGGGGATATTGGGATACACTACCCTAATGCATTGTACGTTTGATGTCTTAGCAATAAACAGTTCTATTTCGTAAATTATAAAATGTATCTATGTTTTAAAGAAATTAATAATTCCTAACCCGCATTTGGGAAGCTTGGGATTGTTATTTTAAAAAGACCTGAGCCGAGTTACTACAGCAGCAGTGCTAATGGAACTTCAACAAAAAGAAAACTCAATTAATGTACAGAGTAAACTTTAATAAAAAAGGTCCAGTTTATAGGAAAAAATCCATTTTTTTAAGAGCTATCGAGTTCTTAAGTTTCGTGATTGTTATACATAGGAAATTAAACTATTTTTCTCGGATCTAAATTCCGTGTATTTGTTTTGTTCAAACAAACCAACGTTTCGGATCCTTCGCAGGTCCTGTAGTCACGGCAGACTCTTATAAGAATAGAGTCAGCCGTAACCATAGGAAAAATAGTTAGAGTCTACATAATATCGTCGGTGTTTTGTAGAAAAAGCGAAAGTGCCATTTCGAAAATTTAGCATAGGTAGCATA